CTAAGTTATGCAGAGAAATGGATAAATACTTTTTTACCTACAGTTAAAAGAAACAAACCCTGGACGTCACTACTATTAAAATTGTCAATAGGGTGAACAAACCAGCAACTGAGTCTTGCATAAGAAAAGACAAAGCTGACACAAACACACCTACTAGAATTTTTCCAAAAGAAAACTCTTAAATGTGATCTACCAACTGGGCATCGATCAGTCAGACAACAATCTTCACAAATGCTATCTCAAGTTCCCTTAAAATATTACAGAGAATAGGTTATGTTTTTATAGTGAGTTATGTTTATAGGGTCTGTTTAAAAAACAATCTGGTAAACTGATGAATATATTTCCTCTTTTTTCCTTTCCACCAACAAAATTTTAATTGAAAATGTCGTATCTTTATGCATACAATATTCCAAATATCAGCCTTCCACTGTTGTTTATAACTGATACCGTAAGTGCTACACAAATTGGACCAGAACATCACCAAATCCAGAGGTCTATATCTATAATTGTAACTTGATTTTTTTTAAGAGAGTATCATGGAATCATTTTGGTTGGAAAAGACCTTTAAGATCATCAAGTCCAACCATTAACCTAGCACTGCCAAGTCCAACCACTAAACCATGTCCCTAAGCACCACATCTACATGTCTTTTAAATACCTGCTGGGATGGTGACTCAACCACTTCCCTGCCAGCCTATTCCAGTGCTTGATACACCTTCCGGTGAAGATTTTTTTTCTAATATCCAATCTAAACCTTCCCTGGTGCAACTTGAGGCCATTTCCTCTTGTACTGTTATTCATTACTTGGAAGAAGAGACCAACACCCACTTGGCTACAACCTCCTTTCAGGTAGTTGTACAGAGCGATACGGTCTCCCCTCAGCCTCCTTTTCTTCAGACTAAACAACCCCAGTTCCCTCAGCAGCTCCTCATAAGACCAATTCTCTAGAACCTTCACCAGCTTCATTGCCCTTCTTTGAACAAGCTGCAGCACCTCAGTGTCTGTCTTTGGTGTTAGATCGCAGAAGCAATAAATTTAGCCATAGCTGTATATGGAAACAAGAGGCAGATCTTCTGGAAGGCAGTATATGAGGAAGCCTCCTCCCCTCACCATCTTACCAAGTTCTCTTCTCCCCCTTAGCTCACCCTCAGGACTCCTGTTCCAACATTGCTCTCTCTGCACCAAGACCAGAAATGTTTGTTGTTTGACACGAACACATTCATAGCAACTAGCAACCTCAGTCTGGGATAATTCCAGCCCATCTCATGCTTTAAAACAATTGATATTGCACGCATCCAACTGTGTAAGGCCATTTTTTCTCTTGTCCAAAATCATGGTCATCTTATACCCTAAACTATGAAATGTTAGCAGGGCCTTAGTTTTCCAGTTCTAACACCTAGTGAACAGTTGTTCCTCATCCCTCTGCTGTATCTTTGGAGGATGAAAAAATTAAGCAGGAGATGCAGAAGGCAGCTGATTTCCCCAAGGTGTTGGTCTGAGCAAGGCTTCCCTCTCATTCCTTGCTACAAGACAGTAAGTTAGGTAGGGCTTTTCCTTAGGACTGTGTTGCAGATTTGAAACACAGTATGTGAGTATCCATGACGCACATGGTGTGAGGGACAGAATCCCTGCAAGGAGGGGCTTGGTAATGAGAGGTAGGATGGGGTAGGTACATTCTAGCTTTAGGCTCATTCTGCTTTTCCCTTTTGGGAAAGAATTACTCTGCAACAGCTATCAGAATCATGAATGTCACCACAGCCACAACCTGGCTTCATTCTTTCTCCATTTTCATCTCAAATGTCATTTTGAAATTTGTGAAAATTGCTCTGGGGTACAAGAGAAATATACCTATAAGTAGGGTTTCATTTACTGATATGATTCACTGCTGCCTGCAGGGAACGAGAGAGACTGTTATAACTGTGGCATAAAGTTGACAGTGTATAGAAATTAACTCATGGTGTGTAAATGGCTATGAAGGACCATGGCTGGCTCTGAGCTCTCCATGAAGCCCACGGTTCATCATTTATCTTGTGACACTGACATATTTGGGCTCTGTGGACCTCTCCCATTTCTCTCTCTCTACAAGCCAGAAGGTAATCGTAATGTAGGTTGGGAGCATGACATTACTGTTTCTCATGCTAAGCAACTGCAAACTGCTCCCAGGAGGATGCCTATTTATTACTGGCTCTGCGCCATGAAAGACTGACCTAATGAAGCAATACAGAGCAGCCGATGTTGGCAGTTCTTGTGGCATGGACAATTAGAGGTCCATTTATTGGCATAATGTTTGTGCCCCAAAGGCTACCACATACAGGTGCCCTGCCTTGATAATTCTGTGGTGTGGAGTTTTTATTTGTCTGCCCTTTCAAAACCACATGTAAGGTTTCCATGTGAATCCATTAAGGATGCAACTGAGTTTCATTTAAAAAATAAATAAATCAGTAAACCCCTCAATTCAAGCTCCATTTTAATTATTATGTTTTAACTAGTGTCTCCTAATAATAACATATAAAAAATATCTACAATATTTAGTGTAACAAATAGAAAACATTGTGTATGTCAAGCTAAAACATATCACCTTTATAGTCTTTTACTTCCTTCAGAAATTACTAACAAATACAGGGGTCTAAAGGAAAATCTAATATGTGAGAGGATTGTCTCTTTTTTTTAATAGAGTCTAACATCTTTGGCATGTGAAAAAAATGTTAGCACATTTTCAATGAAGATTATGAAAATGTGGTTATAAGCTGTAGACAAAGAGTGAGATGCATCTGACCAAGATTAAACATAGATATAAAATTTGGTATAAATGTCTATATTTAGACATCTGTATTTGTTATCCCAAAATACAGCAGTACATATCTGACTGAATTTACTGCCTAAACTCCATGTAGTTACTGGAGAGAAAGTAGCAGAAATATGATCTTGTCTGGCTCTTTCTTGTGTAGTTGTCTAATGTAGATCAGACCAGCCATGTCATAATAGTGCCTAAATCTCTCCACTAAATGCAAAGGGAAGCATTTCCTTTCCCAAGTGAGCAGCTCAGATGCAAATATCTACTGTGCACATCTTCAAAGATAGTTGCAATGATTCCCATACACTCAGAAACTGAAAAGCATCATGCCTCCTTCTTGTAATACTCAGAGGCAGGTGATATCATTGGAGGACTAGATACCTATTCCCCCTTTCCCCCTGACTACTGATTACATCCATCTGTCAAATTATCCAGCTATCTCTCTCGCAACACTAAGAACAACAAAAAGAAATCACCCCATAACCTCCAAACTATCTTATTATTTAAAGACTCCAAATGTGAAGGGCCAAACTGCGCTCCTCCTCCAGCAACAAACAACAGGTAATTAAAAATATAAAAATACATAATGACCCACTTACTTCAAAGTCTTTATCTCTACAGCGAATGTTAGATGAACAGTGAAAATCAAGCACCTGGGGCTAGGAAGCCTGAAGTCTATATGCCAAACAGAGCACTTGGCATGTAGCTGTCACCTGTTAAGTCATGAGGAAAACACTGAGATAGGGAAAATCCTAAATGTCACCTAGCTAACAGTGCACTCAGGGCAATCAGGACTGACCTCTTTCCTAAAATTAAGAACTTGCACATCTTCTGCTGAATTCAAAACTAGTGGGGAAACAGACTGTACCTCCTGATACCTAGGGGAATGCTCAAAGGCTGTTAGGTGAATGGATAATTCCTTCTCCTTCAACTATATTATAAAAGAGATGGTATGCAATTGATTTTTGTGAGTTACCTACAGAGGTATCTATCTCAGAAACACCTATTACTTCAGAAGTACATAGGTACCCAGAAGACCAATTGCATTGAGCACCACATAAGACTAATTGGATGGACCCCCAGTGTACCAATCTCAAGCAGGATAGAAGCATGATCTAGATGCTGACTTGCTCAGCCCAGTCAAGATTTGGATGGAAGTTTCTTTAATATGATACAGGAATATAATATAAAAAAGAAAAGTACTTATGGAGTTTAAATGATGCTAGACTAAACTCAAAAGAGCTTTTCAAAATAGAAATTTTGGACTTAAATGCCTGACTTGACCTAAATCTGACTTCAGGTTCCAACATTAAGCAATTCTATAAAGTCACTAAAGTTACAGCAGGGAGAAATTCAGCCCTAAATGACATGATTTTTTGTATGTAATTTGCACCTTTTCTAGAAACAAAATATTATTGCATGATCATTTTCAAGACCATTCTAAAGCTGTATATCACCACACCATGTAACACTATATATTAATCTTTTGAGCAGAAGGTCAATATTTAAGAAACTTGATTCATATTAACTTAATATTATACAATTGGATTATTTATCTATCTTTATGAGTAAATACATAGCGGCTCATCTGAGAAGATACTGTGTTAAGGAGTGGAGTCTATTTAAATAGTAGATTCTGTGCAAGAGTTAATCTCTGCAGATCTGCCTTTAAAAAATACTGGTGGCAGAGATGTTAATTTCCAAGTAAAACAATTTATATTCTTAAAGTAGGCTACCTCTTTTCAAATTCTGGTAGAAACAGGCAGCCAACTTGCACATATCATTAAACTTCAAATTCCCCTGTAAATGACAGCCAAAGCATCCAGAAAGTTCAATATATTTTCTCTGAGGCTAGTTGATGTAGGAAGATTTTTGTGAGACATTTTGTCTTCTATCATCAGTTCAATGATGCAAACAGTGACTGATTAAGCCTGCACTCCTTTCAGGTTGATATACCTGACTGAAAAAAAAAATAAAAAAAAAAATCTCACAGCTGGAATTCTTACTGAAAACTAAAATAGATGACAAAGTAAAAGACCAATCCTCTGTAGACACTTAATGAAGACAGGCTTCAAGGGGTTTTCTATACCAGAGATTACTTTACACCCCAGGATGAGACAGAAACAGCAGATTTCTGCAGCTGAAGATTGCTATCACAGCAGAATAAGGAAAATAACAAAAACATATTACTTGTTAAATCACTTACAGTGGTTTTCCTTTGGATTCACAAGTCAAAATTATAGATTGTCCTTCTTCAGGCCATGAATTGGAAGAAATGATTTTAACTAAAGGTGTATCTAGGAAGAAAAAAAAATAGAGATCTTGTTGATATACACAAAAAAGATTTATTATCTAAGAGTACATTCTTCTCCATTTACAAAAGACTATACCATAGATTTAATTTGCACTTGGAGATGATTTTATATGGAGCCTTGTGCAATTTTCATTGTCTTCAGGAAGGCAATAAAAATGACCAATGGAACTAAACCAGTAACTTTTTTTATCCCAAGGAAACACAGATAGAAAGCACATGTACGCTCAGAGGAAATAACTTTTTTCCTTCTGTATGCAATGCAGATACTCCATACGACTATTCCAAAGTCTGATATCTAACAATGAAATAAAAAATATTGAGGATGAATAACAAGTACTCTGTACAATTGTTTCTTTGTCTATTTATAGGTTGATATGATGGAATGCTGCTATTAGACGAATGAATGCAATAATATACATTTGAATAAGAACACTTTTATTGTTGCAGAAGCTTGAAACTCATAATAAGAAAGCTACAATGGGCTTTCAGATAAAATACCTTGTTACAGGCATTTTACAGGATATTATTTCTGAAATGCAATAATGCTGCCCCTAAAACAGAACATTCTTTTTTTTTAAACAAAATTTACAAAGAGAATGTTTTAAATATCTGCAATAGCACTAAATAAAAGTGTGTAATTGTTCTTATACATTGGAATTAACTTCATCGTTTTAATTGCAAAAAGATACACAATATAACTACTGTGAATTCATGCAGAATAAAACATTTGCAATAGAACTTTAACTTTTAAAACATTTTGCCAGCTGGCTATATTCTCATAATCAAAATATTTTACATGAGTTACAGGGGCACCTCTCATAAGGAAAAAAAGGATCACAAAGAAAGAAACATGTCTATACAAAACAGTTTTTACCTTAGGAAAAGGAAAAAAGAGTTCACAGTCATAATGAGGAAGATTTTCCAACTCAATAGGGAAATAAAAACTCTTGTTTCCTCCACAGTTTCTTAATACAAAACACATGTCTTCAACTATGGCACAAGAAATACTTTAACCTGCAAATCTAGGGTATCTAAGTTTTGTCTTATCCAATTTGCAATTCCTATTTTCCTTAGCAGTGAGGTTGTAGTGACACCGTAGATATCCTATTATTGAGCAATTGTGAAAGAGCATGACCATATGACCCTACAACATCAGATGGAAAAAAATGATATGCCGTAACAATTGAATTTCTTTTTGAGATGCTAACAGTCCTGC